TTTATTTTTTGTCCCAGGATGTTTGTACAGGGCACTTTGTGTCCCAGGATGGTTGTACCTGTCACTTTGTGTCCCAGGATGGTGGTACCAGACACTTTGTCTCCCAGGACGTTGTACCGGATGCTTTGTATCCCAAGATGGTTGTGCCTCACTCTTTGTGCCCCAGGATGGTTGTACCGGTCACTTTGTGTCCCAGGTAGGATGTACAGGTCACTTTATGTCTCAGGATGCTTGTATCGGTCACTTTGTGTCCCAGGATGGTTATACTGGACACTTTATGTCCCAAGACGGGTGTACCGGTCACTTTGTGTCCCAGGATGGTTGTACCGGACACTTTGTGTCCCAGGATGGTTGTACCGGTCACTTTGTGTCCAAGGATGGTTGCTCCGGTCACTTTGAGTCCCTGAATGGTTGTACTGAACACTTTTTGTCCCAGGATGTTTGTACAGGTTACTTTGTGTCCCAGAATGGTTGTACTACACACTTGTGTCCCAGGAAGATTTTACTGGACACTTTGGGTCCCAGGATGGTTGTACCGGACACTTTGTGTCCCCGGATGGTTGTACCAAACACTTTGTGTTCCAAGATGGTTGTACAGGACGCTTTGTGTCCAATGATGGTTCTACCTCACACTTTGTGTCCCTGGATGTAGGTACCGGTCACTTTGTGTCCCATGAAGGTTGTATCGGTCACTATATGTTCCAGGATGGTTGCATCGGACGCTTTGAGTCCCAGGATGTTTGCATCTCTCAGTTTGTGTCCCAGGATGGTTGTACGGGTCTCTTTTTGTCCCAGGATGGGTGTACCGGACACTTTGTGTCCCAGGATGGTAGTACCGGTCACTTTGTGTCCCAGGATGATTGTACCGGTTACTTTGTGCCCCAGGATCTTTGTACCTAACACTTTGTGTCCCAGGATGATTGTACTGGACACTTTGTGTCTCTGGATGTTTGGAGCGGACACTTTGTGTCCCAGGATGTTGTACCGGTCACTTTTGTGTCCCAGGATGGTTGTACCGGACACTTTGTATCCCAGGATGGTTGTACCGGACACTTTGTGTCCCAGGATGATTGTACCGGTCACGTTATGTCCCAGGATGGTTGTATCGGTCACTTTGTGTCCCAGGATGGTTGTACCTCACATTTTGTGTCCAATGATGGTTGTACCGGTCACTTTGTGTCCCCGGATGGTTGTACCGGGCTCTTTGTGTCCCAGAATGTTTTTACTGGTTATTTTGTGTACCTCACACTTGGTGAGCCTGGACGATTGGGTCCTTGGTTGGTTGTACCTGTCACTTTGTGTCCTACGATGGTTGTACCGGTCACTTTGCGTCCCAGCATGGTTGTACCACACACTTTGTGTCAGAGAATGGTTGTACCGGTCACTTTGCATCGCAGGATGGTTTTGCCGGTCACTTTTTGTCAAAGGATGGTTGTACTGGACACTTCGTGTCCCAGGATGATTGTACCGCTTACTTTGTGTCCCAGGATGGGTGTACCTCACACTTTGTTTCCCATAATGATTGTACTAGACAATTTGTGTCCCAGGATAGTTGTACCGGACACTTTGTGTCCAAGGATAGTTGTACTATACAATTTGTGTCCCTGGATGGTTGTACCGGTCACTTTGTGTCTCAGGATGGTTGTACCGGACACTTTGTGTCCCAGGATGTTGGTACCGGACACTTTGTGTCCAGGATGGATGTATCGGACGTTTTGTGTCCCAGGATGGTTGTACCTCACACTTTGCATCCCAGGATGGTTGTACCGGTCACTTTGTGTCCCAGGATGGTTGTACCTCACACTTTGCGTCACTCTAGGATTTTCCAGGTTTATATAATCATATATATCATGTACCAGTCACTTTGTGTCACAGGATCGTAGTACCCGTCACTTTGTGTCTCGGGATGGTCGTACCGGTCACTTTGTGTCCCAGGATGGTGGTACCGAACACTTTGCGTCCCAGGATGGTTGTTCCGGACACTTTGTGTCCCAGGATGATTGTACCGGTCACTTTTTGTCCCAGGATGGTTGTACCGGACACTTTGTGTCCCAGGATTGTTGTACCGGTCACTTTGTGTCTCGGGATGGTCGTACCGGTCACTTTGTGTCCCAGCATGGTGGTACCGAACACTTTGCGTCCAAGGATGGTTGTACCGGACATTTTGTGTCCCCAGAATGTTTTACTGGTTATTTTGTGTACCACGAGGGATGCACCTCACACTTTGTGACACTGGACGATTGTACTGTACACTTTGTGTCCATGGATAGTTGTACCGTACATTTTATGTCCCAGGTTCGTTGTACCGGACACTTTGCGTCGCAGAATGGTTGTACTGCACACTTTGTGTCCCAGGATGATGGTACTGGAGACTTTGTGTCCCAGGATGGTTGTACATACTTTGTATCCCAGGATGGTTGTACCGGACACTTTGTGTCCCAGGATGATTGTACCTGTCACGTTATGTCCCAGGATGGTTGTATCGGTCACTTTGTGTCCCAGGATGGTTGTACCTCACATTTTGTGTCCAATGATGGTTGTACCGGTCAATTTGTGTCCCCGGATGGTTGTACCGGGCTCTTTGTGTCCCAGAATGTTTTTACTGGTTATTTTGTGTACCAAGAGGGATGCACCTCACACTTTGTGAGCCTGGGCGATTGGGTCCTTGGTTGGTTGTACCGGTCACTTTGTGTCCTAGGATGGTTGTACCGGTCACTTTGCGTCCCAGCATGGTTGTACCACACACTTTGTGTCCGAGAATGGTTGTACCGGTCACTTTGCATCGCAGGATGGTTTTGCCGGTCACTTTTTGTCAAAGGATGGTTGTACTGGACACTTCGTGTCCCAGGATGATTGTACCGGTTACTTTGTGTCCCAGGATGGGTGTACCTCACACTTTATTTCCCATGATGATTGTACTAGACAATTTGTGTCCCAGGATAGTTGTACCGGACACTTTGTGTCCAAGGATAGTTGTACTATACAATTTGTGTCCCTGGATGGTTGTACCGGTCACTTTGTGTCCAAGGATAGTTGTACTATACAATTTGTGTCCCTGGATGGTTGTACCGGTCACTTTGTGTCTCAGGATGGTTGTACCGGACACTTTGTGTCCCAGGATGTTGGTACCGGACACTTTGTGTCCAGGATGGATGTACAGGACGCTTTGTGTCCCAGGTTGGTTGTACCTCACACTTTGCATCCCAGGATGGTTGTACCGGTCACTTTGTGTCCCAGGATGGTTGTACCCCACACTTTGCGTCCCTCTATGATTTTCCAGGTTTATATAATCATATATCTCATGTACCAGTCACTTTGTGTCACAGGATCGTAGTACCCGTCACTTTGTGTCTCAGGATGGTTGTACCGGTCACTTTGTGTCCCAGGATGGTAATACCGCACACTTTGCGTCCCAGGATGGTTGTTCTGGACACTTTGTGTCCCAGGATGATTGTACCGGTCACTTTTTGTCCCAGGATGGTTGTACCAGACACTTTGTGTCCCAGGATTGTTGTACCGGTCACTTTGTGTCTCGGGATGGTCGTACCGGTCACTTTGTGTCCAAGCATGGTGGTACCGAACACTTTGCGTCCAAGGATGGTTGTACCGGACATTTTGTGTCCCCGGATGGTTGTACCGGGCTCTTTGTGTCCCAGAATGTTTTTACTGGTTATTTTGTGTACCACGAGGGATGCACCTCACACTTTGTGACCCTGGACGATTGTACTGTACACTTTGTGTCCCTGGATAGTTGTACCGTACACTTTATGTCCCAGGATGGTTGTACCTCACACTTTGCGTCCCACTAGGATTTTCCAGGTTTGATGCATCGGACACTTTGTGTCCCAGGATGGTAGTACTGTGCACTTTGAGTCCCAGGATGGTGGTACCGGACACTTTGTGTCCTAGGATGATTGTACCGATCACTTTGTGTCCCAGGATGATGGTACTGGACACTTTGTGTCCCAGGATGGTTGTACCTCACACTTTGCGTCCCACTAGGATTTTCCAGGTTTGATGCATCGGACACTTTGTGTCCCAGGATGGTAGTACCGTGCACTTTGTGTCACAGGATGGTGGTACAGAACACTTCGTATCACAAGATGGTTGTACCGGACACTTTTTGTCAAAGTAAGGTTGCACCGGCCGCTTTGTGCCCGAGGATGGTTGTACCTTACACTTTGTGTCCCACGAAGGTTGTACCTGTCATTTTCTGTCCATGGATGGTGGTACCGGTCACTTTGTGTCCCAGAATGGTTGTACCGGTCACTTTATGTCCAAGGATGGTTGTATCGGTCACTTTGTGTCATAGGATGGTTGTACCTCACACTTTGTGTCCCAGGATGGTTGTACCGGACTCTTTGTGTCCCAGGATGATTGTACCTTCACTTTTTGTTCCAGGATGGTTGTACCGGTCTCTTTGTGTCCCTGGATGGTTGTACCGGACACTTTGTGTCCCAGTATGGTTGTATCGGTCCCTTTGTGTCATAAGATTGTTGTACCTCACACTTTGTGTCCCAGGATGGTTGTACCGGACACTTTGTTTCCCAAGATGGTTGTACTAGTCACTTTGTGTTCTAGGATGGTTGTACCGGTCACTTTGTGTCCCTGGATGGTTGTACTGGACAATTTGTGTCCCATAATGACTGTACAGTTCACTTTTTGTCCCAGGATGGTTGTAACTCACACCTTGTGAGCCAGGATGTTTGTACAGGACACTTTGTATCCCAGGATGGTTGTACCTGACACTTTGTGTCCCAGGATGCTTGTACAGGACACTTTTTGTCCCAGGATGGTTTTAGCAGTAACTTTGTGTCCAGGATGATTGAACATCACACTTTGTGTCCCAGGATGGTGGTACCGGACACTTTGTGTCCCAGGATAGTTGTACCTCACACTTTGCGTCCCTCTAGGATTTTCCAGGAGCATATAATCATGCATCTCATGTACCGATCATTTTGTGTCCCAGGATGGATGTACCGGACACTCTGTGTCCCACGATGGTAGTACTGGTTAGTTTGCGTCCCAGGATGGTGGTACCGTACACTTGGTGTCCCAGGATGGTGGTACCGGTCTCTTTATGTCCCAGGATAGTCGTACTAGTCACTTTGTGTGCCAGGATGGTACTACCGAACAGTTTGTATCCCAGGATGGTTGTACCGGACACTTTGTGTCCCTGGATTGTTGTACCGAACACTTTGTGTCCCAGGATGTTTGTACAGGTTACTTGGTGTCCCAGGATGGTCGTACTACACACTTTGTGTCCCAGAATGATTGTACTGGACACTTTGGGTCCCAGGATGGTTGTACCGGACACTTTGTGTCCCCGGATGGTTGTATCAAACACTTTGTGTCCCAGTATGGTTGCACAGGACGCTATGTGTCCAATGATGGCTCTACCTCACACTTTGTGGCCCTGGATGATGGCACCGGTCACTTTGTGTCCCATGATGGTTGTATCGGTCACTATGTGTTACAGGATGGTTGTATCGGACACTTTGTGTCCCAGGATGTTCGTACCTCGCAGTTCGTGTCCCAGGATGGTTGTACCGGTCTCTTTTTCTCCCAGGATGGTTGCACCGGGCACTTTGTGTCCCATGATGGTTGTACCAGACACTTTGTGTCCCAGGATGGTGGTACCAGACACTTTGTGTCCCAGGATGGTTGTACCAGATGCTTTGTGTCCCAGGATGGTTGTGCCTCACACTTTATGTCCAGTGAAGGTTGTACCGGTCACTTCGTGTCCCAGGATGGTTGTTCCGGACACTGTGTCCCAGGATGGTGGTATCTGACACTTTATGTCCCAGGATGGTTGTACCGGTCACTTAGTGTCCCAGGATAGTTGTAATAGTCACTTAGTGTCCCAGGATTTTGGTACCAAACACTTTGTGTCCCAGGATTGTTTTACCTACTTTGTATCCCAGGATGGTTGTACCAGACACTTTGTCTCCCAGGATGATTGTACCAGTCACTTTATGTCCCAGGATGGTTGTATCGGTCAATTTGTGTCCCAGGATGGTTGTACCTCACACTTTGTGTCCAATGATGGTTGTACCGGTCACTTTGTGTCCCAGGATGGTTGTTCCGGACACTTTGCGTTCCAGGATGGTTCTACTTGTAACTTTGTGTCCCAGGATGGTTGTACCGGTCACTTTGTGTCCCCGGATGGTTGTACCGGGCTCTTTGGGTCCCAGTATGTTTTTACAGGTTATTTTGTGTACCACGAGGGATGTACCTCACACTTTGTGACCCTGGATGATTGTACCGTACACTTTATATCCCAGGATGGTTGTACCGGACACTTTGCATCCCAGAATGGTTGTACTGGACACTTTGTGTCCCAGGATGATGGTACTGGACACTTTGTGTCCAAGGATGGTTGTACCTCACACTTTGCGTCCCTCTAGGATTTTCCATTTTTATATAATCATGTATCTCATGTACCGATGACTTTGTGACCCAGGATTGATGCATCGGACACTTTGTGTCCATGGATGGTAGTACCGGGCACTTTGTGTCCCAGGATGGTGGTACCGGACACTTTGTGTCCTAGTATGGTTGTACCGATCACTTAGTGTCCCAGGGTGGTTGTACTAGTAACTTTGTGTCCCAGGATAGTGGTACAGAACACTTCGTATCACAGGATGGTTGTACCGGACACTTTGTTTCCAAGGATGGTTGTACCGGCCGCTTTGTGTCCGAGGATGGTTGTACCTTACACTTTGTGTCCCAGGATGGTTCTACCGGTCACTTTCTGTCCCTGGATGGTTGTACCTCACACTTTGTGTCCCAGGATGGTTGCACATTACACTTTGAGTCCCAGGATGGTTGTACCGTTCACTTTGTGTTCCAGAATGGTTGTACCGGTCTCTTTGTGTCCCATGATGGTTTGTACCGGACACTTTCTGTCCCAGAAGGATTGTACTGGTTACTTTTTGTACCAGGATGGTTGTACCTCACACTTTGTGACCCAGGATGATTGTACTGGACACGTCGTGTCCCTGAATGGTTGTACCGGACACTTTGTGTCCCAGGATGGTAGTACCGGACACTTTGTGTCCAAGGATGGTTGTACCTCACACTTTGCGTCCCTCTAGGATTTACAAAGTGTATATAATCATGCAACTCATGTACCTATCACTTTTTGTCCCAGGATGGATGTACCGGACAATTTGTGTCCCAATATTTTGGTGCCGGACACTTTGTTTCCCATAATGGTTGTATCGGTCACTGTGTGTCCCAGGATGGTGGTACTAGTCACTTTGTATCCCAGGACGGTGGTACCGAACACTTTGTATCCCAGGATGGTTGTACCGGACACTTTGTGTCCCAGGTTGATTGTACCGGTCACTTTGTGTCCCATGATGGTTGTACCGGACACTTTGTTTCCCAGGATGGTTGAACCGGTCACTTTGTTTCCCAGGATAGTTGTACAGGACACATCGTGTCCCAGGATGGTTGTACCGGTAATTTTTAGTTCCAGGATGGTTGTACCGGACACTTTGTGTCCCAGAATGATTGTACAGGTTTCTTTCTGTACCAGGATGGTTGTACCTCACACTTTGTGACCTAGGATGATTGTACTGGACACTTTGTATCCCTGAATGGTAGTACCGAGCACTTTGTGTCCCAGGATGGTTGTACCGGTCACTTTTTGTACCAGGATGATTGTACTTTACACTTTGTGTCCCAGGATGGTGGTACCGGTCACTTTGTGTCCCAGGATGATTGTACCTGACACTTTGTGTCCCAGGTTGGTGGTACCGGACACTTTGTGTCCCAGGATGATTTTACCGGTCACATTGTGTCCTATGACTGTTGTACCGGACACTTTGTTTCCCAGGATGGTTACACCGGTCACTTTGTTTCCCATGATGGTTGTACCTCACACTTTGTGTCCCAGGATGGTTTTACCGGTCGCTTTGTGTAACTGGATGATGGTACAGGTCACTTTGTGTCCCATGATGGTTGTATCGGTCACTATATGTTCCAGGATGGTTGTATCGGACTCTTTGTGTCCCAGGATGTTCGTACCTCACAGTTTGTGTCCCAGGATGGTTGTACCGGTCTCTTTTTGTCCCAGGATGGTTGTACAAGACACCTTGTGTCCCATGATGGTTGTACCAGACACTTTGTGTCCCAGGATGGTGGTACCGGACACTTTGTGTCCCAGGATGGTTGTACCTCACACTTTGCGTCCCTATAGGATTTTCCAGGTGTATATAATCATGTATCTCATGTACCGATCACTTTGTGTCCCAAGATGGATGTACCGGACACTTTGTGCCCAAGGATGCTAGTACCGGATACTTTGTGTCCCAAGATGGTGGTATCTGACACTTTGTGTCCCAGGATGGTTGTACCGGTCTCTTTTTGTCCCAGGATGTTTGTACAAGACACTTTGTGTCCCATGATGGTTGTACCAGACACTTTATGTCCCAGGATGGTGGTATCTGACACTTTGTGTCCCAGGATGGTTGTACCGGTCACTTAGTGTCCCAGGATTGTTGCAATAGTCACTTAGTGTCCCAGGATTTTGGTACCGAACACTTTGTGTCCCAGGAGTGTTGTACTTACTTTGTATCCCAGCATGGTTGAACCGGACACTTTGTGTCCCAGGAAGATTGTTCCGGTCACTTTGTATCCCAGGATGGTTGTACCTCACACTTTGTGTCCAAGGATGGTTGTACCAGTCACTTTGTGTCCCAGGATGGTTGTACCGGGCTCTTTGTGTCCCAGTATGTTTTTACAGGTTATTTTGTGTACCACGAGGGATGCTCCTCAAACTTTGTGACCCTGGATGATTGTACTGTACACTTTGTGTCCGTGGACAGTTGTACCGTACACTTTATGTCTCAGGATGGTTGTACCGGACACTTTGTGTCCCAGGATGATGGTACTGGACATTTTGTGTCCCAGGATGGTAGTACCGGGAACTTTGTGTCCCAGGACGGTGGTTCCGGACACTTTGTGTCCTAGGATGATTGTACCGATCACTTAGTGTCCCAGGATGGTTGTACCGGTCTCTTTGTGTCCCAGGATGTTTGTACAAGACACTTTGTGTCCCATGATGGTTAAACCAGACACTTTGTGTCCCAGGATGGTGGTATCTGACACTTTGTGTCCCACGATGGTTGTACCGGTCACTTAGTGTCCCAGGATGGTTGTAATAGTCACTTAGTGTCCCAGGATTTTGGTACCAAACACTTTGTGTCCCAGAATGATTGTACCAGTCACTTTATGTCCCAGGATGGTTGTATCCGTTAATTTGTGTCCCAGGATGGTTGTACCTCACACTTTCTGTCCAATGATGGTTGTACCAGTCACTTCGTTTTCCAGGATGGTTGTTCCGGACACTTTGCGTTCCAGGATGGTTCTACTTGTAACTTTGTGACCCAGGATGGTGTTACCGGTCACTTTGTGTCCCCGGATGGTTGTACTGGGCTCTTTGTGTCCCAGTATGTTTTTACAGGTTATTTTGTGTACCACGAGGGATGTACCTCACACTTTGTGACCCTGGATGATTGTACTGTACACTTTGTGTCCCTGGGCAGTTGTACCGTACACTTTACATCCCAGGATGGTTTTACCGGACATTTTGCGTCCCAGAATGGTTGTACTGGACACTTTGTGTCCCAGGATGATGGTACTGGACACTTTGTGTCCCAGGATGCTTGTACCTCACACTTTGCGTCCCTCTAGGATTTTCTATTTTTATATAATCATGTATCTCATGTACCGATGACTTTGTGACTCAGGATTGATGCATCGGACACTTTGTGTCCCTGGATGGTAATACCGGGCACTTTGTGTCCCAGGATGGTGGTGCCGGACACTTTGTGTCCTAGGATGGTTGTACCGATCACTTAGTGTCCCAGGGTGGTTGTACTAGTAACTTTGTGTCCCAGGATGGTGGTACAGAACACTTCGAATCACAGGATGGTTGTACCGGACATTTTGTTTCCAAGGATGGTTGTACCGGCCGCTTTGTGTCCGAGGATGGTTGTACCTTACACTTTGTGTCCCAGGATGGTTTTACCGGTCACTTTCTGTCCCTGGATGGTTGTACCTCACACTTTGTGTCCCAGGATGGTTGCACAGGATACTTTGTGTCCCAGGATGGTTGTACCGTTCACTTTGTGTTCCAGGATGGTTGTACCAGCCTCTTTGTGTCCCATGATGGTTGTACCGGACACTTTCTGTCCCAGAAGGATTGTACATGTTACTTTTTGTACCAGGATGGTTGTACCTCACACTTTGTGACCCAGGATGATTGTACTGGACACTTTGCATCCCTGAATGGTTGTACCGGACACTTTGTGTACCAGGATGGTAGTACCGGACACTTTGTGTCCAAGGATGGTTGTACCTCACACTTTGCGTCCCTCTAGGATTTAGCAAGTGTATATAATCATGCATCTCATGTATCGAT